ACACGTGGAAGGGGCAAGGGAGCTCTCTGGGTCTTCTTTTGTTTTTAATATATATTTATTGATTTCAGAAAGGAAGGAAGAGGGAGAGAGAGAGACACTTCATTGATCGGCTGCCTCCTGCAGGCCCCACACTGGGGATGGAGCCTGCAACCCGGACATGTGCCCTGACCGGGAATCGAACCGTGACCTCCTGGTTCACAGGTCGCCGCTCAGCCACTGAGCTGTGCCAGCGGGCTCTCTGGGGTGTTTCATTAGGGCACTAACCTCATTTATAGGGGCTCCGCCCAATGACCTAATCCCTCCCAATGAACCCACCCCTAACCCTCCCCTCAGGGGCCAGTGTGTCAACTTAGGACACAAACATTCGGACCACGGCACTAGCGGAGCTCAGGCAGTTGTCATTATGGCTACACACGAGGGTCAGGGTGAGGGTGAGGGATCGCGGTCTGTGACGTGGACACGTTAGTGATGCTTGCAGAGCGGTTGGAAGCCCAGATGTGAAGTAGCACAGAGACCGAAGTGTGGACAGCAGATTGCGGGCAGGGGGGCAGTTAAGTCACTTTTAGACTCCGAGTCACCAAAGAATCACAAGTGAAAACGATGGTTCGAGGTTGGGGTTGAGATGGAGGACTGGAGATAAAGTTGGATTTGTACGTGACTCTTGCCGTTGCCTGAGAATTCGAATAACCTTTCTATCTGGAGCGTTGCCTCTCGAATTCGACATCCCGTCTCTTTCTCTTATTTACATTACAGATCGCTGAGCCCAGGGGGGACTCCAGTTTCCAGCAGGAAGTCCATGCAGACGCTAATGACAGACACGAGGAAGGGGACGAGGACCTCCAGCGCAAATCGTCTCTCAGAACCCAGAATGTTCTAGAAGGAGCCGGATAGTTATCATGACATGCTCCCGGGACCACTTCTACTCCCTAGGGCCTAGAAGGACAATAGGAACCAGGTCTTTTTTTAAGGTTCCATCCCTTTCTAAGGCACCACCCAACATTTCAGATTCCTTCTTTCAAATCTCCCCTGAGGTAGAAATCGGAGGTTCCATTTTTTTAGATGCTTGACTTCAATAGACTAGCACCATCAGAAGGAGGCGTGTAGGGGCTCAGAATGGCAGGGGGACTCTTGAAAAGTATAAAACTAGAGCATGTATGCCACGCATTTTATCACTTTACTTTGAAAATGTTGCCCACGGGATTATTATACTCATTCTCATATTTAACATTTATATATCTATCTTAAATAGTTTTAAATAGACGTAGTTTTGAAAACATGCTGTTCTTATAAAA